CATTTAAATGCACCCTTAATAGATTTCCCTTGAAACTCACATAAATGATAAACCTTTTGCAATTTGCAGCGTTGAGTACTACAACTTTGCAAAACTGGGATTGTCGTGTGCCATCCTATATATGTGAAGATGGTAAACTCACACATCAGCATCAGGGCTGGCAGAATTGGACACTGGTTTTCCAGAACACTAATGGATTTGCATTCATTTAGCTTTCTTGTTTGGCCTAGGCCCCTGGAGGATGGTAGCACGCACCTGGAGCAGGAGAGCATGCAAAGCTGTCTCACTCGGTGACAGTCTGACTTTGTGGCCATGAACTTGGTCTCATTTGTTTAGTGTTCTCATCAGCTGAGCTAACTCATTTTAAAAAGAGAATTATACAAACTAGCAAAGCTTTCCTGAGTTTTTATTTTTCCTTCCAAAAGAAATATCTCCATTAAATTTCCAAAATATTTTCTATCATGTCGGACTCAGAGGAGCTTTATTAGGAAAAATATTTCTATGAAAAATAATTCAAAAGTACTTAAGCATATTCAAGCGTCTGAAAGACAGTCATTTTTAACACACTAAAAGTGGAATATAAACAGAAACGTGCACTAAAAGAAAAAACAATAACATAAATTCACCAAAGCAATTGCTTTTTTTTTTTATTAGACATGGGAATTTCAAAGGTCTCAAGGTAGGTAATTAGTAATATCATCATCTGGAAAAAGAACACTACAAGAGGAGTATGAAACTCTGCATCTAGTACTAGCTCTAATTGTATACTGTAATGATAAGTCACACTGATCATTTTCTTCATCTATAGAATGGAAGATGATGTTTGAAACATCTGAGAGCCATCCTAATTTTGACATACTAAGAATTTTCATTGTCAAAAATGTTTTCTAATATTTAGGGTTTTAAAAACTATTGACAAACACAGAAAAAAATAAAAAACCCAAACTCACTGCCATAGAGTCAATTCCAACTCATTAACAACCCCCACTGGTGCTCTAAGGTCATAAATCTTTACGGAAGCAGAATGCCCCATCTTCTAAGAGCAGCTCATGGGTTCAAACCACTGACCTTTTTTTTAGCAGCCAAATGCGTTAACCACTACACCACCAGAGCTCCTTATGACAAAGACATGGCTGTTAAAATGTTCTAAGATAAAAAAATAATACATGTTTGCCTTTTAGAATCAAAAGTCTCTGAGGTTAAGAATAGATAACTGTACAAGAAATCTTTAAGGAGTTGCTTTCCTCATGTTAAAGAAGTCATGATCACCTGGACAATGCAGAATATATTTTCTTAAACTAATTACTTCTAGTGCAGCACTGCGGTATTACTGAAAGATTTTTAAAAGACTTTGTCAAGGTGTTTGTCATCTATTATCTAAAAATATAATTTCCTGCCTTCTCTCTCCTTTACTGTTACAAAACCCTTGCACAAGTGTAAAACTAAAACCTGAATGTCATCTAATAAATGTCCTCCTTCAGTTTATGGTACTGCTCTGAAGGCTGTAACTGAATGGATTTTGGAGCAAGAGGAAAGCCCATACCAATTGTTTTCAATCTTGCAGATCTTCATGGTGTCTCTAATTTAGTGCAACCTTTGGAGAAAAAATTAAAATATAAAGCAGAAATGGTATGAAAACTTCCAACCTAGAGCTGCAAAGCCTCTAACATCCTCAACACGGTTAAGACCTGTATTGGCACATCAGACTGAAAGTGGCTTACTTAGGAGAGTAAAACAGGAATGCTAAGAAAACAATCACAGTTCATTTTAATTAAAGAGAACAAAAATATGCTATTTCTAATTAAATAGTAATCCACATTTGGTGCCAATCAAGGTATGTTATTTATCATTTGTCATTTGCTTATTTATTTCAACCAAGTTTTTTCCCAAAATGTGTAATTCATTTTTCTTTAAAATAGTCTACCAAATGTGCTTTCAAGTTTCCTTATCGTATAAGAAAAAAATTATCCATTTCTGTACAAGTCTGCCTTTAGGTCAGCAATGGACCACACTCATCCAGCAAAGTAGATTATACATATATTAATGCTGCAAACTAAATGATTACAAGCAATTATGATTCAGGGTCAAATAGCTACATTTTCCTAAAATTGTCCCATTTTAAATAGAAATTTACTGGACAATTTAATTGCTTTTTAAATTGAGGAATTTATCAAGTGCTTTAATTCTTAAGTACTTTTCTAACTTTCTTCAAATGAAACTTGCTAAGAATAAATGAAAGATTTTTCTTTTCTGTTGAAATCTTTGATTTCAACAGTAATAACATAAATGTATTAGCAACCAAAGTAAATTTTTAAAACAAGTATACTTAAAAGTGATGACACCTTTATTTTTCATTTTTTCTATATTCCCTCATTAAATTTATATAGCACCTATTTTTCAGTGAACTTAGAATGTCATAGAGGCTTAAAGATGTATGCTATTATGGCTGTACAATAGTAGCAATCAGTTTTCAAACAACAGATGTGTTTTTACATTTAACAATCTTCTACTGCCATGTGTTAGAGAATAGCAAGGACTCATGTAATAAGAAAGCGGAGCAACTTGGGAAATTTATACAAAGGAAGAAACAAGGAATGAAAAGAAGTAGGTAATCATAACTTCAAAAAAAGGCTTCTACCTAACAGGCAAAAATTCGGCTTCATTACAGATTCTGGTGTAGGGAGTTGATGAGAATGGCTGGACTAATGAATCTACTGCTTTCCTGAATCTTGGCTAACGCAAATATTTAGCTGTTAGATTATCACATGATTCAGAAGAAACAATTCTTCCCAATAGAGGCTCCATAAATATTTTAATTTGCAGCTGTCTGCAGTATCAACAAACTTAACAGCTAAAGTCCAGTTTATTCCTAAGGCAGTGTGCTGTTATTTATTAGATGTTTTAAGTATTTTTGGCACTCAAGTGTTTTCATTATTCTTAATGAAATAATGGCAGCCAGCCAGGTATTGAATTCCTGGTGAACATTTAAAATGTTAAATGGAATATTAAGTGCCATATATTTAGTCTTTTCTTGGGTAATTATAGGATCTGAGCTATAACCCACAAATAATGAATGCCATGTTATTTCATAAAATGAGTCTTATAAGACTTAATAAACATAAAACTTTATATTCTAACTTTATACAATCCAACATAAACAAGGAATCAATTTGCATATTCTTAGCCCTAATTAATTTAATTCAAAGGAAATGACAAAGATTTCCAGAATCAAGAGTACTACCTGATCCTTATTTGTAAAAATATGGAAACCTAAAATTTATTTCAAGCCTAAAGCACTGTAGAGCATAACAAATTTAAAAGGAAAGACAACCCCAAGAGTTACTGATGGCAAATTTACTTACTATTTTAAGTTAAGTAATCTGGCTAAGTTTACATCATTTTATATTACAGCTTGGAAATTGATTAATGGAATTTATGCTAAAAGGCACATAATAAACTTCAAAAAAGGAAAACCTTGTCTATTATTGATAATGTCAACTGAGTAACCGATTGTTTTTACTTGCACCTAAATGTGATTTATTCCTCATGAAGCTTTATATATTTTCACCTCAGGTAAAATCAAAATACCCTCATATTCTTAAATCCTGAACCAAATCTGAGAACTTATGATTAAAGTGGACACTTGTTTACAGATACAGACATTTCTATTTCCTCAAATGCATATCCTATCATGACAATGTTTTAAACATATTACCTGGATCTTTAATAAAGCATCAACTATGTATGTTCCAATTAAAAAAAAAAAAACTTCTCAAGAAAACCAATGTCCAATATACACTATGATCTTGGGAAATATTTTTTAACTTGTATTTTTAAATGTTTTATTTTAGAATACTATACTTTAAGACACTTCACATTCATACATTTACCTGCGTATTTGTTTCACACTCTATTCCAGGAATCCATAAAACAATTTCCTAAGGAGAGTCTTAATAATGTTCTATCCTAACAACTTCAATTGTCCAGAAAAAGCTACAAACTGCCTTGTTTCTACCATACAGAACTTTTCACCCATATCAACTTTAAAATGCTCTTACAAAATTGTCTAATGAATAGCATTAATTTTAGGACCAAGAGAAGTCTACTTCATATGAACATTCACTTTCTATTTAAAGCCTGAAAGGACCCACCATTTCAAAAACTATCTCCAAGTCTATCCATATTGTTCCAGTTTGATTCTCAGCTGTGTTAACTAATAACTTCATTATCATTTGGACCCAAACTATTCAATCTCATTCCCCCTAATCATTTTGTCAAATAGCAAACTTGGACACATTTATAATTCTTTTAAGAACTTTTATTGATTTTTTTTCTAACAATTCAGTCTGTTGGATACCAATGCAGTTTATAAAAAAAAAAAAAAAAAAAAAACTTCAGTACAGTTTCATATAAACTGCAGTCAAAAAGGTAATTATCTGAAGTTGCAAGTTATTTTTTGTAATATGCAGAACAGTAAAATGTAAGCATGCTCTCAGATGCACAGGCTCCCGTGTACTATGGAGTTATTTTGAAGAGCTTGCTAAGGTCTGCAGGCAGTTTAGGGAATGCAATTACTTTCTCCACAATTTAGTTACATGAGAATTAAACTGGTATTCATGAATAAAGAACTTTTCTCAAAAAAGTTGAGGCAGCTTTTGTTGAGTGCTGTGTGGGTACACTCGCTACATCATGAACCGTACTAGGAGAGAAACACCAAGGAGTTCATGTTCATGCTGAAACTTGAAAAATCCCTCCACACGTGTTCCAAGAAAAAGGAGGAGGGTAATTAATACACGATGCACGGCAGTTCATCGTCTGACATTAACAGAACATACCAAGAAACTTTACACAACAAAGAAGTAAATTTCCCTCACTGCTTTCGGCCAGTCAGTGTTGTCTATAGCGGAGGGTGGAAGTGGAGCAAACCTAGTACGGGATAAAGCGTTAAGTAAGTCTAAATCTCATGCATAGTTGTCCTTGTTCTGTTCTCTTAATGTTTCTCAGACATCAGAATTAGAACTGAGGTTTGTTAACCTGGGGTCAGCATTGATTTCGTATCTGTAATGATATCCTTCCATGTGATCCCTGCAAGCATCTCTGATGTTATGCATCCACTTTTTGATTCCCTTGCGGTTCAAATACAAAACAAGTAGGAAAATAGCTCCTATCAGGGCTAAAACAATACCCAGGAAGACATAAGAAGTCTGCAAGGATGGGGGGAGAATTGGGTCACAGTCCAAGTCGGAGCTGTTGAGCTGAAGCAGAACACGATCCCTCATTTTTTCTGGGAATGCACAGGTGAGCCTGGCTTTACCCTGCACTACCTCGGTATCCTTGAGCCAGGCCACCATGTCGGTCATGTGGCAATCGCAGACCCAGGGATTGTTGTCCAGGAAGACCCTGACATGAGGCAGGCCCTGCAACTCTGTCAAGGTGCCGTTGTGAAGGACCTTGAGGGCGTTGTCCTCCAGGTGGAGGCTTTCTAGGTGTGTCAGGTTGCGCAAGGACACGTAAGTCAGGCTCACCAGCGAGTTGTTGCGAAGGTCCAGGTGCCTGAGGGCTGGCAGTTGTGCCAGCACATCCCGGGGCAGGTAGAGGAAGTGGTTGCTGGCCAGCTCTAGGCGGCGGAGCCCACGCAGGGCGTGACCAGCCCGCAGTGCAGCGGCCACCATGCCCTCGAAGCTCCGGTTCTGCCGCTCGTCCCCTGGGGGCACGATGTGGTTCAGGATCAGCTCTACCAGAGGACTGGGGGCTGAGACGCTGGCGTTGCTGCCCGAAAAAGCGAAGCGGCTGAGGTTGGCAAGCGGGTTGTGGCTGAGGTCCAGCTGCCGCAGGCTGGGCAGATGTTCGAAGGCGCCGGCACGCACCTCCTCCAGGCGACTACCACTGAGGTTCAACGCAGCCAGCTCGGCCAGCGGTGGCCGGCGGGCGAAGGCGCCGGCAGGGAGCACCGCTAGCTGGTTGCCAGTGAGGAAGAGGTTGCGCACGTAGGGGGGCAGGTCCGCGGGCACCTCGGTCAGGTTGCGGTTAACGCACTTGACGGTGCGCGCTGCCTCCGAGCACTCGCACAGGGGAGGACAGTGGCCCGGGAGCGAGGGCTGGGCGGATACGGCAGAGACCGGAGACGACGCCGAGGAGGTGGAGGAGGACGCCGAAGAAGTGGGAGAAGACGAAGAGACCCAACCCAAAAGGACCAGCGTCAGCCTTGCCAGCCGCAGCCGCCCGTCCCCGGCGGCGGGGCCCCGGAAGCACCCCCCAGGCATCGCGGCTCGCGTCTCCTCGGAGCTGGGCTGGGACGGCGCCCGCTCCGACGACTCAAGAGGCTGGGCTCGGAGGTCGTAGGTCGGCCGGAAGCGTCTGGAGAAAACTTTCCTCTGGTGCGAGCCGAGGAGGGGCGCCGCAGCCGGAACTTGGCTAAACCCTGCCACCGGGCGTCCCCCTCCCGGCGCCGATTCCCCCGCCCCTTCCCTCCCGAAAGTACGCACGGCAGGTCGAGACGATCTGCTCCGCGCTTCTCCTCCGGCCCCTCTTCCAGCCGCTGCCCCCGGGTGGCACCTCCTCGCCTTTTACTGGTGTCTCGCGCTGGATCCGCTGAGCGACCTGGGACAAGCATGAGAGAAGCGTGAGGAGCAGCAACCGCGGCTCCCCAGTTGCAGCGTCCGGGCCTCCCCAAGCCAAGTCGTTCCCACTCTGTCCCAGACCTCGCCTCCGCCTGCTTCACAGATCATCATTACCCGGGAGAGGGACGCGCGTCCAGAGACCCGAGCGCAGTTTTCTTCTTCTCTAACCCACACCATATATACCCTTCCAGCCTCTCACCCTCCTCTTTTCCGGAACAGACTCGTCCCCCGCGTCTAACTTCTCGCTTAATCTCCACCGTTCCCTAACAAACTTCTCACCCTCTCAGTTCCTTCTCCTACCGCCTCCGCGGGCGACCTGCCTTCAACCCCCTCCCGGACCCCTCCTCCGAGTCTAGGTTACGAAGGGAGTGAAGTTTCAGGTTACAGGAGTTTTCTGATATTATCCTTTTGTTCCTTCTTGGATTCGTGGAGGCCCCGGCAGCTGTCGCCCCCCAACCTGCGCCCCCGCCAGTCCCTTGGAGCCAGTCTTCTCCAAAGGGGCGGGAAGAAGCCTCGAACAAGGCGGCGGCGGCACTCGGGCTGCCGGGCCACCGGGAACTGCTGCTATTCTCCCGCCTGATGATGGGGAGGGGCTGGCACCGCCTCGCGTACTGCCTTAGTGGATAGCTCCCCGGCGCTCACCTTCCCGCCCGTCGCTCTGGAGTCAACTCCGAGTCCTACCGGAGTCGCGCCGACTTCCCGGCTCCTCGCTGTGGGCGCCGACTCTTCTTGCACCCTTGCCCCTGGCCCAGCCTCCACAGCTGGGAAGAACCAACCCGGGGGAGGGGAGGCCCGAGCCTGTAGGAAAGACTTCTCCAGGGGTGAGGCCAACCTCGGCAGCCCTAGGTAGGAGGATTTAGAAAGAGAGATTGGGGGGGATCTGGGCTGTGCGCCTCCTCCTGGCGGAAATTAACGAGGAATGTGCGAGAAAAGATGAGGGAATCCCTCTCTCCCCCTCCCGGGCATCCTTTCTTTGGTGGTTCCTCATTTGCATACTGTATTTACCTTGGACGGAAACAAAACCGCTGGTGGCTCTTGTGGAATTCACTCCGATTTCGGGACCTATGGCAGTGACGAGATAGATTTAAGCGTGACAGACCCCAGCGCGAATCAGCAGCAGAAAGAAATGAGCTAGAAATGTACAGCGTCAGTACCAAAATGCAGGGCGGTTTGCAAGGGAGCTTTAGGAAAGTCTCATCTCAAAGTGGTACTTTGGGCTGCCAACTTCCGATTTATGTGTAATTAATGCATTCCCACCTGTGTCACCCCCGCACTTCTTGGGTAGTTACCAAACTTGTGAAGAGAGAAAGATGCCAACATTTAAAACAAAACAAAACAAAAAGCTTGTGGAGAGGAGATTCATTCTGGATTCTTTAGCTTTTCCCCTTCCAAAATTAAAAGCAGAGGAAAAGGGCAGCCAAAGCATCCTAGAAACAAAAGACAAATAGCAACGACGTGAGTCAGCTGGAGAGCGGACCCGCAGCCCCACCACCACCACCACCACCAGGCGGGGCACCGCGTGTTGGTGGGAGTCATTTAAGGAAGACGAGTTCACCACCTGGAGGCATAAAAAGGCCTCCCACCGAGAGCAGAAATTTGGTCACAAGCCCATCGCTCCAGGGGGCGCCGGCGGGGGCTGGGAGGAGAGAGAGAAGTTAATTCAAAGAGGATCTGTTTTTCTGTTAATACATCCGAGAGGTTTTAGGTCCTGAAAGCCCTGCCATTGATTTCTCAGTAATGTTGTATTCCCCTTTGTTGCATTTAACTAATTTCTCCAGAAGGATAAGTAGATGTTAGTTATTGCAGGCTCCTTCATTTTAATGAGAAAATAACAGTTTGGAAAACTTAAGATCTGCTAATATAAAAAAGATCAAGTAAGGGAACTCGATGTTTGTGTCTGTGGCATATACCTTTAGTGTGAAGAAAGGCCTTGACTCTCAAATCGATCCTGGTTACATTGTGGAAAGAATACACAAAAGCCAACCGCAAAAATGTCCCAGACAACAGCTTGGAGGAGCTGGAGGTTGCAGGGATTTGTGCAAATAAAACAGTTTCATTAATTTGCAACATTTATCTTATTTTTAATTTTTTTTTGTAACATGAATGAGAAACATTTTGAAAAAAGGCTCTCAAAAACTGCAGTAATGTTCTACATCCTGATTGTGGTGGTGATGATATGACTCTATGATACCAAACCTACCTACTGCCATTGAGTTGATTCCAACTCATAGAAAACACCACACACACGCGCGCACACACACACACACACACACACACACTGGTGGATTGCCTCATCTTCCTCCCATTGTAGTTTGAACCACAGACCTTCTGGTTAGCAGTCAAATGCCTTACCACTACACCACCAGAGCTCCTTTCTATATATACTACTATGTCAAAATTCATTGAACCATCCACCAAAACCATGTTCATTTTACTATATGATCATTTTTTACATAAAATTAATTACTCATAGGGGAAAAAAAAAAAAACTGTAGTAATGCTCCATACCAAAAAAATCACAGCCAAGTTGAGCCCTCTTTGGGTTTCTGAGGCAGTATCTCTAGGGAGATCTTCCTTCTGAGGAGTGGCTGGTGGGTTTGAACCACCAGCCTTCTGGTTAGCAGTCAAATGCCTTGGGCACAATACCACAGCTTGCAGTGTACTATTAATTCTGGTTCTGACATCAACTGTTCTTTGTTAGGAGAGGGGGAAGCACTGTAGAGTTTATAAAGATAATGTACAGATAGTCCTGGATTTACAACATATTCGAGTTACATTGAATTGCACTTATGGCTGTCTGTTTTTTTGTACACCTTATCTTTAGTAATATGTAGTATATACAGTGTTGCTGCATGTAACTTGCTGATATTATCATTCTCAGATGTTATGATTTACAGTGAAAATGTCAGCTGAAGTTTTCTCTAGATGAAATCAGGGGCTTCAGTTTCTTAGAAATATGGATCCATATAGAGCTTTAGGAGCTCTGGTAGCATAGTGCCTAAGGCACTTGACTGATAACCAGAAGGCTGGTGGTTCAAACCCAGCAGCCACTCCTCAGAAGGAAGGTTGGGCAATCTACTTCCATAGTGATACCACCTCGGAAACCCAAGAATGGATCACAATGAGTTGGGTCCGACTCAACGGCACATAACAACGACAAACATGGTTGCTTTGCTAAAGTCAATAGGCAGACTTTGGAAGCTGTGAGATGTTACCATGAAATCTATGAAGAAAAAAAGAAAAGGCCCATACAGATAACTCTCTCACATTTTCTGACTAGAAATGCTATCCCCATTCCCAGGAATAATCCATATGATCCAGAACCTTCTACAAGTAGAGTTATTACTACCACTGGCAAAAAGCCAATGTTGTCTGATTCATCTTCATCATCAAGAGCAAATTTTTATGATTTGTGTTTTTTATGTATTAAAGTATATCTGTAAGTTTATAAGTAATGCTTCTAACCCCCACAAAGATGGAATATATAAACATACTAATAATTAAAGGCAATAATAATGAAAAGTAAAAGAAAAAAGAAAGTGTACAACTTATGTCAGAACCAACTTATGATGGGGTCATCAGACTGGAAACCTGTCATAAGTTGGGCACTACCTGTGTATTTATTCTCATCTCATCATCAAAACAACTCTGGTAAGACAGATATCAATATATTGTTGTTCTGTTATTGTTGTTATTTCTGTTTTACAAATGAAAACAAAAAAGGGACTCACAGCTAAAAATGACTAACATTAATTGTTTTATACTTGCCAAGCCCTTTGTTAACCATTTTACAGAAATTGTTTAATTAACTATTCACATCAGTATTCAGCTTAAGTCCTCCCGTTTTGATTTTATCAATGAGGAAATTGAGGCTAAAATCAATTATGTAACTTGAATGCATAGTGGAGGTGGGAACCAAACACAGATTTGTCTTCCTCTCATATTTACCTCATCATCTCACCTCTTCGTGAGGTTAAGGGTTTTGGCAAAGTCCTACTCCCACTTAGGCAGAACCAAGATCTTAACCCTGATTCTCCTTCCCCTTATATCCCTTCTGTCTTCTTGCAGGTGGCAAATTGTTGTGCTAACGAATAGGGACCCAGAGACTTGGGTCATTTCGAGGTCCACCCTTACTTATTATGTGACTTCTGGATACCTTTATTTCTTAATTTGTAAAATAGGACCACTACTAAAATATTAAGACATTTTCATAAGAATTGAGATAACATCTATCACAAATTTAGCAAAATTGTTTATTATTGTTGTTCTTAATTACTCCACTTCCTCATTTATTCTACACCCACTTTATCTCTGTAACTTCATTACTGATAGTAGAGCAAGGAAGAATTGGTTTTGTTGTTGTTGGGTGCGATCAAGTCATTTCCAACTCATAGCAACCCTATATACAACAGAAAGAAACACTACCCAGTCCTGCACCATCCTCATAATCCTAGCCATATTTGGGCCCATTGTTACAGACTGTCACTCCTTGTTTTTGATGACTCTCTACCAATCATGATTGTCCTTCTTCGGGGACGGATCCTCCCTGATAACATGCCTGAAGTACATGAGATGAAGTCTCGCCAACCTTGATTCCTAAAACCATTCTGGCTGTACTTCTTCCAAGACAGATTTGTTTGTTA